CGCCACGACAGGACAGGGCAGGGTTACGCCCACAGCGGTACAGTTTAAGACATTTTTATTCCTCTGCGTGTTACACTTAGTGTTTAAGAAAATACAGGATCCCTTTTGACATTCATACATTTTTACAGGGGAAAAAAAAAATAGGTTTCTCTACGAGGGTGGTTATTAAGCTTGGGCATCCCCAGGCTGACTTCAGGAGGCCAGGCCAACCCCCTCCATTCCCGAGCATCACCGCCCCGAGACCGGGCCTGCAGAGCGGAGCTCGTGCCATCGCCTCAAACTAAATAAAAAGACACAGTGCCTAGTATTTCCAGTTCCACTTTCCAATAGCTCCTACAGGGGATACTGCGAAGGAAGAGCTGGGGACAGGGAGTGACCAGATTGCGCACACGAATATCTAAGAGACCCACGTTAACGTGTGTGACTGTCTGTAACAGGGAAACAGGTTAGTCCCGTTCGCTAGAAACCTACAGGAAAATATAAATAAGGGTTCCCCACACTCGTGCATAGTCACAAACAGCTACTGGACACCAGGCTCGCGCTGCCACGTGGAGCGGGAGGGCGGCGAGGCAGAGCCACTACGAAGCTGAAGGCAAGAAATCCACACGCTTCACGAACAGAGCGCGCCTGCCCGCGCGCCGCCCCTCCGCTCCGGGCAACGCTGCGGGAGAGGTGGCAAGCGGCGGCTTTCCCTTGGCAGGATGCGTCTTTGCGCTGCGTCCCAGCTTCCAAGGGCAGCGTCACCCGCATGGTCGTTACTTCTAGGCTGCCACGGTGTGCAAGAAATTCAGATTTAAACGTCACTATAGAAAGCAGGTTGAAAAAAGCAGCTGCTGGGGTAAGACCTCTACGACCCTGGGTGGGCTGCTACCCAGAGGCAAAGCTGAGGGCCGGGGGGGAGCGAAAGGCTCACTAGATGCGGCGTTAGACAGCAAGCGAGCTACCTCCCCTTGGCAGGGCCGCAGCACATTGGCACTAGCAGCAGAAAACAAAACAGATGTTACAAAAGCTTCTTCCAAGCGCCAGCGGACTCCACTTGGTCACTGCAGGGAGAGATGCACATGGAAAAGTAGTGATACTCTAAGGCCTTTCTCTTCGGGACCTCGGGACATCAGCGCAGCTCCACACCCCCCACCCCGGCTGCGGAGTCCCTCGCAAGCTCTCTGCCCTTCCTGCTGCCTAAACACCTCCCTGCCCGAGTCTCGCGGGCAAACCACACGACAGCACCCACCCCGCTCCGATCTCCCCCGGGCACCAGGCCCCGGGGACACCCCACGCCCTTCCTGCCGCTGACATTTCTAAAGGACCGGTGAATGCCGTCCCGGCCTCCAGGCCCCGCACGGAGGGATATAAGGTATGAGCCGTACTGGGAGGGAAAGGGGAGAAAGTGTCAACAAGAGACGTCGTTGATCCAAGTGGTTCAAACTCCAGTCCAAGCTGAGGGGCGGTTAGCTGGTACCGGGAGAGATTTCTGGGAACTCCTTATAAATCTCCAGGATGATCAGTTTGTCCATCTGGCACTGCTGTCCCTCCTCCTCCTCCCCCAGGATGCGCTGCAAGATGCCCTGCAGGTCGGAGAGGCGGTGCTGGTGCTGCAGATAGGGCGTGGAGCGGATGATGGCGTGCATCAGAGAGAGATACTCCATCCTCAGCTGCCGAGAGGGAGGGGAGACAAAACAGAGCACAATGAAAGATGCAGAGTGAGACAAACAAGCGTGCCAGCCTCCATTACAGCATGAGCAGGGGAACAGCTGCTGCTGCACCAGCAGCCAGAGAGCAACTCCAGAGGCACCTGCTTTTCCTTAAGGCTCATTAGTAGCAATGGAAAACCCTGCTTTTCCCACAGTGCTGCTCTTCCCCCACTCCCAGACATCATCTGCTGCTTGCAATACCAAAACAGAGAGATTCCTCACACTTCTGCTGCTCACAGGGTCCCTGTTCCCAAAGGTCCCTGGACAGAGGGGTGCAGACCACCAGAAGCCTGGCAGATCTTTCTTCAAACACACCTTTCTACTGCTTTGTGCCAGGCAGGATAAATCCCCCCATTCCTCCTCAGCCTCCAAGATTGATTTGAGCACCCAGAAATGTCGTGCCCACCCCAGGACTCCACAGCACAGCAGGTCCCACAGAGGACCAGCGGGACACTGCTACTTTGGGACTGTGCTCCCTTCTCCAGTGCCTATGGGATACCGTCAGCACCTTGTCTCCCGGGGAGAGATCGGCGATCTGCCGCACCAGGATGTCTATCAGCACCATCATGTCTGTGTGGTAGAAGATGCTGGCCGTGTCCTTGCTGGCAAAGATGTCCTGCAGAAACTTCAGCACTGAGTGCGGTGGCTGAGGCTGATGCTTGAAGATACAAACTGGATCATCTGGGGGAGGCAGAGAGACTGTGCTAAGCCACACGCTCCCCCGTGGCCCCCTCCCTCAGTGCACATGCCTTTGTTAAGCCCTGGAGGCTTTGGGGAGGAGGCTGCCCCTGGCCCTGGCCAGCCACTCCCTGCCTGTGGCTAGCGTCTATGGTAGTCGGGATGGCACATCTGCAGGGTACCAGCCTAGACCAAACTCATTAGCATTAATCATCGTTTACGTTTTACCTACCAACCCAGGTGAGAGCTCATTAGCACATCTCCTCTCAGTGCCTCCCCTTTTTGCTCAACAGACACCACTCATTTTCTCCACTGTTTATTAAGTCTGGTCCAATGACCCCTCTGAAAACCCCAGCAGAGCCTGTACCAGAAATGAGCCTCCACCACGAAGACCAAGCTAGCACCATCCCCAAGCAGGAAAAGAAACACCTCCAAGTTTAAATAAGCTACCACATACTGTTCTCTTCCAAAACTTGTCCCTGCAGACCCCAGGAAGGGCTCTGGGACACTGCAGCCCCCTCCCCAGTAGTTGTCAGGAAGGCGGGCACAAGAGAAGCATCTTCATTAGATTATGGCTCAGCCTCTCACAGTAAGGTGATCCCTGCAGGGAATCTGGCAGGGAAAGGGCTAAACAAAGGATTTGGGAGGAGGCCAGACGGAAGAGCACTGAGATGCCGGCAGCCCTCAAGCTGACATAGTGTGGAGACAGTGATTTGCAACACCCAAAAACCCTAAAGCCAGAGTAAGATGAGCTACAAGCATCACAGGCTGAGTAATTTACCCGCAAATCAACACAATGAATCTCGGGCGACAAGGCCCCCGTGCTCCAGAAGGTATTAGAAAGCACAATAGTGGCGCGGCGCAGGCAGAAATACCTGGCACTGCTCTCCCGTGGAGATCGCCAGCTTCCCGGCAATCTGCTTGGCAACAGCTCCACACGTGCTGCGCGTTTCGCTCTACGCCTGGAGCGGGCACAAAGCGAACCCTCTGCCGGTGATTCCCAAATGGGAAGTTCCACTCTAAGCAGCGTTTCGGAAGGTAAGACCTTCCTCTGGAGCCGTTCCCAGGACAGAGGATCGCCAGCATGGGCTGAAGCTCATGTGTCAGTGCTGGTGGAGCCCTGTCCAAGGACAAAAGCGACCCAGGACCAGCTTTCCTCCTGGACAAGAGCTTGCCAGAAGTACAAGGAGAGCAGTTTGCACAGAAACACCAGCCCAGCGGCCTCTCCTCTCTTTCTAGATGCCATCAGCATCACTTTGTTCTTTGTGCAGCTCCAGCCTCGGCAACGCAGCCTGTCAGCCTCACAAACTCACCGGGAAGCGGCACGTCCTGCCTGAGCCGACAGCTTCTCCGCTACCTGCCACCCTGACACATCCCACCCCTTAACGAGCAGCGGGCTTGTCTCCTGGAGTCCCCATTAACTGCACCCCCTGCCAGGCATGAAACAGTGCCACAAAAACACTCACCTCCCCTGTTCAGCAGCAGCAGCAGCTTTTCAGTGAAAGTCTTGACATTCGAGTGCTTGCTTATTGTAGTCATGATCACACTGTGCTCTGGAACTGAGGAAGAAACCTGTTCAGCACATCCCCTTGTTTCCTGAAGACCACAGTAATAAAAAAAAAAAAAAATAGTGGAGGGCTCCTGTTTCGCATCAGTGCTCTGGGAACCACACTATCAAGGCTGTGAAAAGTTTCAGCCCCGCAGAGTAGGTGGGCAGGGAAAGGGAAGGTGAAATCAATCTGGAAACAACGCATGGAACACTTGGGACTCTCTCCTTCCGACGTGCATCTGATTCACACGTGGCTCAGTCCAGCCAGCCAAGGACTGCAAAACACCTTGAAACATTGCCCCTGCTCACAACCTGTGAAGCCAAGGGCTCCACTCTCTGGGAGTATCAGCAGTGCCCTGCTGGAATTCACTGCTTCTCGTAAGAAAGGATGGCCACATCCCAGAAGCACGCCAGAAGGGAAAAGTCCTCCTTCCCAGCGCTTGGCACGGGGCTGTGCAAAGGGAGGTGCTGAAGACTTGTAGGAAATGTTCCCTGGCTGCTTGGGGGCTCATTTCTTGTCACTAAAATATGTTCATCCCAGCAGACGTTATGCACCTGTGCACGCTCAGAGGCGCCCAAACAGCGCCGTGTGGCTATTTCTGTGGCACAGGGCTGGCGACCCTGTAATGTTCCACAGGCTGCAAAGTGCTTTAGGATCTTTCACACTGAAAAGCATCAATATAATATGTTTTTAGAAGAGTTTTTGGACTAATGCTGCACCACTGAACTGTACGATAGATGAATCTTGCAGACGAATAAAAATCCAATCCGCTAATAAGCAACCTGAACATCATGTTCTTAGCATCAGAGAACAAGTCACTGCTCTTGGCTACACCCCAGGTGGGCAATAATACCCCAGAAACACTGCCTGTCACGCTTTACTGCCTAATTACTGCAGCCAGGAAGTATATGGGTAACTGTTAAGGGGTAATGAATGAAAGCAGCAGAGACCGTCCTTAATCAGCCTCTGGGCAATCAACTTTCACATGAAATTAGAAACTTTCACATAAATTTTTAATGAAGCACAACTCAAAATAACAGGTAAACTACTGGACACGTCCTTGCTGCTTTATCTTCCCCTCTCTCCACATAGCCAAGGATAAAGCCATGAAGGTGAACAAGAGGAAGCAATTAACTAAAGACAACTGGAGCAACAGGAGGTTTTGCGGTAAGGAGTGGCCTCTCTTAGCAGGATCTGGAACGACTCTCTAATCTCCCAACAACAGGCTTCAAAAACTCGCCGGCAGCGAGAGGGCAAGCGCCCTTCTCCAGGGAGAACCTGTCTGTTCTCGTGGAGCTCAGCAGGGAAGGGAGGGCAGAGCACACGGGCACTCAGGGCAGAGCACACCTCAGGCCAACACTGAACGGCCCAAACCCACGGGCACTGAACAGGCTTCAGGAGGGGCAGGCGGGTAAGCAAGTGGTTTGTCAAGACCGGCAGAGAACTTCCTGGACTGGTACAGAGAAATGCCCGCGGAAGCGCTTTCTGTCCCAAAGCAGCTATGCCTACGAGCTAACCCCGCTCACGTTCTGCAAGGGCAGCCCAGCCACTGCTATGATCCAAGCAGTGTGGGAGTACAGACAGAAATCCGCTGGGCTTCCCGGAGCTCCTGTGCCCCAGAGGGTCAGTTGGCTGGACACAGGCTCTCAAACTGCTTTTTCCTTTAGGGTTTTGCACAATAACTAAACACAGTGTGTTCCCAGAGGCTAGGGGAGCTGGAGAGGTTATCACAGCACCACGAATTCCCGGTGAGATTCTCCCAGCCTCACTGCTCCAGACCACTGAAATCCTGCCAAGGTAGAGCAGCACCAAACCAACCTGGAATGTGGAGGTTGAAGGCCAGAAGGACATTGACAAATAGGTCAGGCAGCTGGTCGGTGGTGTCCGAGGGCAGCCCGTCCTCAATCACATCCAGCAGGAACTGCACAAACTGAGAGTTGAGATGTTCTGCACAAGGAGGAAGAGAGGCATTTACAGCACAGTGAAAATAAAGCCAAGCAACTTGTGCCAAGCCAAACCACTTCCCCGTGCTTTTACGCTTAAAAACCATTAGTGGAGTGCCAGTACCAGCTTCCAGGGAATTAACAACCCTGCAAGTGGAACAGGCAGACCACTGAAGTGTCTTTGTGCGAGAGACAAGTGGCTCAGAGAACTATTCACAGTGCAGGGGAACGCTGAAAGTTGGACCCTCATTGGCAATTTTTTTGGAGTAAATAAAACACCAAATCGTGCTGTAGCTGTTGTTCCAGCACCACTGCTGCCAATGAAGGCTTCAGGTAGGATGAGATTTGTATTCTTGACCACTGGTTTAGTCCATCTAGTTAAAAAAAGTAATCATCCAGATCATTAGTAATAACCCATTTTTCCATTTAGCTATTAGGAAAGCTCAGGAGCTCATGCAAATAAGTCCACCTGCAGGAAATAATTGCCAGAGTTACATGAGGAGGTTACACAGGAGGTGTGGAGGCTCATTCCACAGCCTCTACTGCACCAGCTCAAATCATGTATGTGTTTACCAGTGTTAAGGTGAAGCTGCTGAGAAGATGCTTATAACAATCTCTACTGCATTTCTAGGAAAACAGAGCCCAGAGCTTCCCAAATACAGGGAACAGAACATGGCCAGGGGAAGCAGCAGGCAGGCAGTGCCTTCTGGCTGAAGGCTGGAATGGAAAGACAACGGATAAAACAGGCAGGTCTGGCACATTTGCACATCCCCATTGACTGCAATACCTCCACCCTCTCCAAGAGCTTGAAATACACATGGCTGCACCATCCGTTAGAAGGGAGAGCAGGAAGGGGCCCCATTATGCAGCTGACAGCTTAGTGGGCGTCCACGGAGCGATCTGGGCTCCCAGCCTCACCAGCAGACGGAACGTCTCCGAGGCAAGCAAGAGGCGCGTGCTTTCAAGCAGGGCAGAGGTAAAACAAGCCGACGCTTAGTCACAGTGATGGGCAAATCCACCTCTTCTGCAGCACGGCATCAGTCCTCCGCTGCTCCAACGCAGATTTGTCTGCTCTCCGGAAATCTGGCAGCTCAGCCCTGTGTTTCAGCAGCCAGGCTCTACTGATAAAGAGCAGACTCTTGTGCTGCTCATGCTGCGCTTTGCCCTCGCTGTCCTCACCTCCCCTGTGCCTGCCAGCAGGCCCCAGAGGTCCCACCACCAGCTCAGCGGTCCTACCACGCTGCAAGCGTGAGCGGCTCTTACCATAGTGATGGTACGGCAGGGGCTCCCCCATGGAGAACATCATGGCCAGCACCAGCGCAGAGTAACACATCTTCTGATGATCTGCAAGGCAAAGGTCCTGCCATTAGTTCTTCGGAGGATGCGAAACACTGTTCCCTAGCAGCAGCTGGGAGGTCACATGTTTAATAGACATTTAACACTGATTAGATTGCTCCTCGTTCCTGTATTTACTGAGCTATAAGGGTGTTTTTCCCCCTGTTTAAGCACACCACACACCTTCTGTGCCATGCGTTTCCAAAGCAATTTAAAAATAACCACAACAAGAAGTCTCAATTTTTCCCACCCCCTTCACTCAAGAGGATCTGGGCAAACTTGATCTGAATAATGAAAAACCTCCCCTGCACAGTCCCAGGACACATCCCATAGTTGTGTAATTACTGAACCCAGAAAAAGCATCCATCTGTCCACCTTGAAATAGCGCCTCTTCCAGCCAACACCTCCCCCGGACAGCTACATGCTTGTTACCATCTCTGCACCGCTCTGCTTGCGCTACCTCAGCTCTGCCCGAGGTGTAAAAGGTCCCTGGGGAGACCAGATCACTGCTCCCGACTCGGGCTGTGCATCTGCCCCCCTCGCCGGGGGCCAGCGCATCCCGCAGCCTGCAAGCCCAGTTTTCGCTGGCAGCAGCTCTATGTGAATACTCCACAGAACCACAGCCAGCGCCCTTCCTGAATTTTAATTAATGGATACAGCTCAGCAGATATTTGCAGAAGCAGACACACACACAAAAAGTAATGGAATAGGATTTATGGCATAATAAAATGTAGCCTCTGTCCAGTTCAGCAAGTCTGAAAATGATAGGAAAAGGAGTATTATTTTTACTAAGTAGGTTACCCCGCAGTCTGGTTAAATACAGTTCAGCTACATCTGCCGGGAAGAGCCTGGGGGCACTTGATACAAAAAACCTGAGGGTGTATTTATAAAAAACTGACCAAAACTACTTTTCATTAGAGGAGAAAGTCCCTTCCATGTACAATGCTTCTCCCAAGAGTAATGCTTCCCTGGACAATACACGCTGGCTCCAGTTCCCCCTCCAACCCCTTCAGACATTTCTCTCCGCACAAACCGATGCATTTCTGAGCACCTGCACAGGCTGATGCCTTCACTGTCACCGCACACTCCTGGACTTGGCCAAAGGACTCGCAACGTTGGCAGCTCTCAAAGTTACTGTTAGCACAGGAGGGAAAATGCCAATGATTCCGGCCCCGTGCCCCTGGAGAGTCAGCTCCGGGAGCAAAGCCTCTACGAACAAAGAGCACGCAGACTTTGTCAGAGCTGCACAAGATGCCCCAGTTTTCAAACAGCAAGTCCTTTGAGTAAAAACAGAGCATTTTGGGCTTAATCATAGATAGTACTGCATTAACAAGATGAAGAGTTTGTAGGAGAGCACCCTAGACCATGTGGCAGCAAAGGAAAGCTGGAAACTGCTGTTTACTCTTGGTAGACAGAGAGGGAGGATATTCAAGGACTTAGACATAATTCATACTTATATAAGAAGCTCTCCGCTGTAGGGTGCCAGTGATGCCAAAGCTCACTGTAACAGAATCTGACAAACTGTTCACCATGTGATTTCTTCATTCTTTCCTCCACGGCTTCAGGACCTGGGGACGAGAGGCAGGACGCTGCAGCGGGTAGACACAGGGACCTGCTGTGCCCATGTTCCTAGTAAGACTTTCGTGAACAAAACATCTTCTCTCATCACATCAGGAACAATGAAATAACGGCCTGAGAACCAGAAGCCAGTGAGTAACATGCAGTTGTAGCAAATACGGAGTAAGAGATTAGAGAGAGGAGGGGGAAGGGTAGTCTTACACGTCCTTGGCCCATCTGCCATGAACTGATGTCCATTCATCTCGGCTGACAGCAGACTCCACTGCTAGGCAGCAAATCTTGTCCTGTTTGCCTAAGGACGCTTAAATCAGTTCAGAAAGCTGAACTCGGGGCAAATCCAGGCTAGCCCAGTGCACTCGCTCAGCACAGACTCTACAAGTTTTTGGAGTGTCCCAGCAAAACTCAGCCAAGACTCACCAAGCTGAAGGGCAGCGTAACTGCCAGTCAAAGCACAGCTTGTTTTTTTCCTTCCAGAGCAGCACCAGTGGCTGCAAGAAAGCAAACAGCATTAATACAACCCTCCTGAAGCAGAGGGGGCTCGACAGAGTGATGAGCATCACTCAAGTGGCCGTGAAGGACAGGAGACTCACGGCTGTTCGCTCACAGCCCGCATTTCCGAAGCCTGCTGAGGTACTGGTAAGAAAGCTGCTATTGTGTGTGACAGGGATTTCTCAGAGGCCTTCAAAGACCTTGCTTCCAACCTCTGAACACAGCAGTGCAAAATCTGGGCACCGGGAGCAGACAGAACTGTCTGCAACTCAAGTGAAAAGGGTCCGACAGCTGACTTGCATGCACACGAAGCTGCAACGAGGGAGAAAGTCACGATTACAGGGTGGATTATCCCCGTCTGTTTTCTTTGGAATTGTTCTGTCTAATTCTGCCTCGCTGTGGCTTATTATAAGCTCTCCTAACACTGATAGATGTGCAGGCCAGCCACAGCAGAGGGAAGTGGCTGTCCAGAAGCAATAAGACCCAAGCATCTGGCAGAAGAACTGGCCAGCAGCCAACACGCCTGCATCAGCCCCAGGGTAAAGCGCCTTCTCATCAAAGGCGCCCAGCATCCACACACAGAGCTTCCGCCTCGGCTGCTCTTCAGTAACAAGCCAGGAGGGATCCCACAGAGCTGCCGCAGCCAGTTCAGTGCTCCCCAGTTGTTCAGTGCTGGCACCGATTGCTCTGGCCCCTGCCATCCACAGAAGGGATTAGCTATTCCATGGTATGTCACGGATCAGCTGCTATTCCCCAGTTTCCAGTACTAAAATAAGCTCCAGTCATTCCAGGATTCAAGGTCACATTTTCACGCAAGGTACCGCTTGCCGTTTGCTGGCAGGATACGGAAGCACCAGAACGGCAGGAGGGAACTACTCATGCCCTGAAACCCCTCTGAAGGACAGACACGTTTGGGGTAAGGACGGTGACTTCTCTGCAGCCCCGCTGCAAAGGCCGAGGGGACTGGATGCTACGCAGGTGACATCTGCGGAAGCACCCGCCACAACCTGAGCACAAGGAAGGCAGCATGGGATCAGGACACAGATTTGGGAAGCTCCCGTAACCAAGAGCAATCTGTCATCAAGGGAAGAGCAGGTTTTCACCCTTCAACTGCACTGCCTGCGTGTTACAGCAAGGAGGGAAAAACCTCCTCACCTGGAGACAAAGCACGGGAGAGAAGGGATGCTGCAGAGCTGCCGTTCAGAGGATGTAGCAGAGCCACTTTCACCCGCTTCCAACGCGATGCTTTTTAGGTACCCAAAGCAGAGCTAATCCTTGCTGGGAGATAGGCCTGCTTCACCCAGAAGCACCACGTGAAGATCTGACCACACCACTGAGCTATTGAGCAAACGGCGCTCAAAGGGCAGGAAGGACATTCCTGTTATAGCAGGGACAGGTCATCCTAACAAAAGGGAGCAGGAGCATGAAGTAGAAGGAACATGGGGGCAAAGAGTAGGTATGGGAAGCACAGAGCTGGGGGAAGCAGGGCTGTAGCACTATCCTGCAGAGGACCAGGATCACAACTCTTAACTGCACTACCATCTCCCTTGGTACAGTGGTGGAGAGAAGGTCCTTTCCTTTAACCAGCACACTTCTCATTGACCAGCAGGAAACACCACAAAGATCTGGCATAGAGTGCTGACAAAAACTGTCTGCAAGCTGCAGAGATCTTCCTTGAGATCTGCAGGTGTCTTTTGTCAGCATCAGGAAACAGAACTGGAACAGCTCAAAATGTGCTTTAAGACATCTACAAGAAGTGATGCAGATCATTAATGGCACATTCAGGAGCTAGAGGGCCTTGCACCACTGGACTGAAACATCCCCTTCTGTGCGTTTCTCCAGTTATTACAGCTGTAATAACCTGAACAACTTTAAAAACAGACACCATTCTCCCCAGCGCACTGGGCACGTAGAGCAGCCAGGCAGGGAAGGGCCACCAGTGCTGCTGTAAATGGAGCGACATGTCCCTGGGGACCTGAGTACAGCAGCTCTGGCTCACCTTGTGTGTGAGTCTGCATGTCCCGGGCCAGCTCCATTGGCAGCACGGAGTTCACAAGCGTTGAGATGACTGCAGCGTCCAAGTTGCACATGGCTCCAAAGCACTTCAGCAGCAGCAACCGTAATGGCACCCTGTGCTCCTGCAAAAACCATTTATTAGATCAAATGATGTCCCAGACGAGGGCTCGCTCTAAGGCAGAGACATAACTGGAACATAACTTCCTGCTGTTGGGAAGCCACAGACCCACCCAAGGTGACAGCGAACCCAGAAGCTCTACTAGCTTTTAAAACAGCACAGGAGTCCTTTTACGATAACGTTCACAACTGGGCTGGCTACAGGCTGTTGGCACATGCAGTCAGATGGCACGGGGCAGCTAGAGCTCAGATCTGAAATGCCCCACTTCATCCACTGACCAGGATACAAACCAACAATCTTTACCCACCCCAGCAAGCAGATTTAATGTACCAGGATGCTCTGAGCGCACTGAGGGTTTGCGAATGCTGCTCTGAAAACACAATATTTGCAAACCCTGCCAACCCAGGTGATGGTTAATGAACAGAATGGGAGCAGCTCCTCTGCTGCAAAGCTGTCAGGTTTGTGCTGGGAGCAGAGGGTGTAACCAGAAAGTTTTGGGACATGCGAGGATTCCAGCAATGATCAAGCTCAAGGAACGCTGGTGCTGGGGTAACCTTCATACTCCAGCCTCAGCCAACAGCCCCAGGGTTCAGAGAACAGGAGTGAGCCAAGCCCTGGCACTGGGCACGTCAGCAGCCAGGACAGGAGACCCAACAGCTCCCACCTTGTCAGGCTTCCTTGAAATCCTGGTCAGAGAAGAGCAGGCAGTGAAAGCCAGCAGGCTCCATCATGCCCAGTCTGCCTTCCCACTGCTCCAAGATCCTTGATGCTGAGTTCTGGGTTCAGACACAGAAGTGCCAGATGAAAGCTAAATGCCCTAAGGCTTGACGTGTTGTAGCTGGGGACTTAGGGACAACATGGGGACAAGTTTTCAACCCCCCCAGAGTCCTACAACAGCACGTTCCAGGAAGGAGAGGGGCAAAGCAACACCATACAGGCATTGAAGGCAAAACATCCACTTCTTCCTCTGAATACTGATTTCCTTCCTCACTCCCAAGGCTTCTACTCACAACCTACTTTCCTAAGCAATGCTATTTACTAATGCACAGAAGCACATCAATTAAAATAGGAGCAGATAGAGCCTGTCAGCTTTCCCAAGGCATCCTTGGAAATCCTTCCTCTAGACAGCAGTGATGCTGATTCTGTCCCACAGTGGAGCTAATGAAAGCAGCAAGCTTTACCCTTCGCACTGCTAGCTACTGCTCCGAGGTCTGCAGCACCCTCTGCTCTTCCATACAGCTCGCAGGCACAGCACTGACATCAGCCAGCATGTGGAAGGGACGTGCTGCCACTCCATCTAGTTCACAGAACTGTCCTATCTAGGAGGGGGCACGTTACGTATACTCATCGTAGCAACCTTGCTCCTTGGCATCCTCAGGGAAACCTCAAAAAGAAGAGATTTGACGCATACTGGCACCTTACCATCTGATAATATGCCACAAGGGACAGGACGGATTCAAACTCATTCTTCTTGCACATTTTCTTGCAAACTTCTGGGTCTGCATCTGTCTGGAAACAGGAATGAAGAGGTCAGCCCCGCGGCACATCAAAGAAGCAAAGTCCCTGCCGCAGGGACCTCCAGGAGGCCAACTGCTTGCAGATCTCAGTAGCCCCAGCCCAACCGCCTCACAAAGAAACAGAAGGCAGAGCACAAAGACAGCTCAAGATCCACCGCCCTGCAGGTTTCACATCAAAGTGAATTCTTGAGAAACATCCCTGCCATCCAGCGTGTCTTGGGCTGAAAACATCTGGAAAAAACCCGTGACCCGAGCAGCAGCTCGACGGGTGCATCACGCACTCATCTCCAGCACTGGTCCCATCCTGAGAAGCGCTGTAATCTCCTCCCATCCCTAAACCACGAGGAACCTGCTGCACAGTATCCCCCGCTGCCTTGCCCTGCAGGCCCACAGCGAGGTGGCATAGGCCACATGTTGAGTGACAACTGGCATTTTTTACTGCATCAGCTCCTGTGAGAAGCTGCTAGAAGGTTCCCCAGCTCCAAGTCAGACCTGCCTCCGGCCATGGCCAAGCCAATTAGCACCTCTGTGATTAACGTACTTAAGAGGAGAAAACAAAGCAAACCTGCAGCCAAGAGAGCAATGCAGACACCCAGGTCAGTGTGGAAAGGTGGGAGGAGGTGCCAGGTTCCCTGGCAGCCCGTGGGGAGGGGGCAGTCTGTGCTCTGCAGCCAGCCGTGGAGGTTCACAGGGGGCAGAGACCCACCTGCAGCCCCAGGAGGGCCCCATGCCAGAGCAGGCAGCTGTGCCCATGACTCCATGAGCACTCCATGCTGGCGCAGGCTGCTCCTGAAGAACTGTACTCCGTGGAAGGGACTCACACTGGAGGAGTCTGTGAAGGACTGTAGCCCATGGGAAGGAATCACATCGGAGACCTTCATGCAGGACTGTGCCCATGGGAGGGACTGACACTGGAGCAGGGGCAGAGTATGAGGATCCTCCCCTGAGGAGGAAGGAGCAGCAGCGACAATGTGTGATGGACTGACCACAACCCCCATTCTCCATTGCCCTGTGCTGCTGGAGCAAAGGAGGTAGATAAATGGGGAGCAAAGCTGAGCCTGGGAGGAAGGGAGGGGTGGGGGAAAGGTTTTTAAAATCTGGTTTTATCTTATACCAAAGCTACCATGAAGAATGGCTCTGTAACTCTTTTCAGAACAGCTTTGTAAGGTAAAGTGGAAGGGAGCTCAAGAGCACTGCAGACCCCAAGCAGGCGAGCAGGGCTTCACACTGATGGCAAAAGATGCACAAGAAACCTGTGCCCTCTGAAACAGCAGATCCGATGGCACCACAGGGCAAAGGAGGTCAGAAAAACAGAACTCACCAGTGCTGTCTGCTCTGCCTGTAAAGGGAGAAGTTTACTCACCAGGATGCGAAGCAGCTCCTCCAGGTAGCAGCAGATGACGTTCTCATCCTCGTAGAGTGCCCAGCTGCGCTGCTGAGCATCGTCCTTGTGCCTGGCCAGATCGGCGAAGATCACCTCCAGCCGCTGCTCGTCGTGGCAGATCTGTCCCGAGGGCAGCCCCGCACTCAGATTCTGCGTGACAGCAAACCACTGGTTAGTGGGGTCTTGGCAGCTAGCTGTTGTTTGGGTGCCTGTTTCCTCTAATCTTTGTCTCGGGACTGGCAGCTGACCTCATTCAGTCAAGAGCTGGCAGCAAAAGACCAGCAAGTTTAAGACATGCATTATTTCAGCTCTCATACTTTTTGGGCCTCTACTCACCTCCTTTCCTTGCACAGCTAATGCAGTGAATCAAGCAAAACAGGTGCCAGAACTGCTGCATGGTCAGAAAGCCTTTAAATCCAAGCTGCCACCATCGAGCTGTCTTCTGAGGATACTAAAGAACCCAAGAAACCTCACTCAAACAAAGCTGCACCCCGCTTTTCTTACCGCATTTAGTAACCTAAGGCTCATCCAGGCAAGCCAACGTTCCCAAAGCCATGGGAATTCATACCCGAGTCCCTCCTAGATCACATAATTGTAGCCTCTAGCACACACACACACACAAACTTCCCCACTCCTCTTTGCAGCAAACCAGAGGTTGTTTGCAGACCACCGCCTGCCTGCTGTGGGGAGGGCGCGTGCTGCAGAAAGGGGAATGCTCATTCCCCATAAGAGAGGATCTTAAGAAGCCAAGTCTGATGACCTCAGCCCTCTGCACGTTTCCTAATACCTAAAGGAAAACCCAAACTGCTTGGCCAGAGTACTATGCTCAGTGTCCCTTCCCAGAGGGCTGTCAAACACCACATCTTTCACGAAAGCAGCCCAGCACACCCCAAAAGCATGGGGCTACCCAGCCTCACTGAACCCAGAGGTACTCTATTACCACCCCAGGAAACAAGTAGGACCCTGGCTTCCCCCTAGGTGAGGTCAGCAGGCAGATGGGTTCAGAAGGCCTTCAGAGAATACACTGTAGGCTGTGAAAATCATCCCAAGAATGGGGAAAGCCAAATCAGCCTGGCACGGGACAGGACCACTACCAGGGAGCGGCTGAGCACAGCTCTGGGCTCACTCCCAGTACAACACGTGTCCCGGACACCAAACCACCACAGTGCACCACTGCTTCCAGGAAGAAGTTGCCTTCACTGCCTGCTCCCTCCAGCCTGAAAGGCACAGATCTTCCTTTAATCCTTGACTCGGGAGCCAGCGCTTGCGTGGCACTCTGCAGGCCAACTGCTCAACACCAGGGCTGCCAGCTTCTGCAGCAAGGACGGGAACCAGTTCATCTTGGGCTGCTTTGATTCTGCATCCTCCCAAAGAGCAGAGCTCAACCGCCGTCCACAGCAGCTCTGAAGCGTGTAGCTACAACACGGATTAAGTCAGCAATCTTTCTGCACGTACTCCTTTCTCAAAGTCCTGTCAACTGCATCCCCACCCCATGCATAACTATTGCCACGAAGGCTTCACCCTGCAGTGTCCTTCCTACACCATTCCATTCCTTTGAGAGAGAGAGAGGGGCGTATCAGGCAGCAGTTAACCTGCCCCAAAAGCTGCTGTGGTCTGCGATTCAGGATAAGCCCCTAGGACCTGGGTATATCACATGAACTACCTGGTTTCCCAGAAGCAAGGCAAGAAGCGGGAACCAGCACATGGAACCAAGCTGATTAACGGTGATGAGCCCAGGCACCGCTAAGCGAGGTAAGGACTAATTTGCAGAAGAACTTAAATTATATACACAAGGGTTTGGCAGCAGTGACAACAAGCAGCAGGAGATCAGCGGGGTGGAAGAGAATTGAGCTGAGAAATTCAAACAACAGGGAAAACCCACTCACTGAGAACAGACCTGAACAGGTTTTGGATTAAGCTGTCTCGCAGCGCGCAGTGACAAGTCACAATCATCCAGTGCAAAAAGGGCTTTGCTGCTGCCAGCCAGGACACCCTGCTACACACCGTGTCTCCTCCTGGACACCTCGGGAAGGCTTCATCCTGTCCTTCCCAGGGGCTGGCCGCACGGCCGGGGGCAGCGAGCCTTGAAGCAGGAGGACCCATGCCGCAAGCGGGGCAGAAGTGTTTTGTAGGCAGACACGAGCCCTTGTTTCGTGGCAGCGGGGACACACACGCAGTCGCACGCCCACACCACCGGCACGCGAGGCTGCCACGCGCGGGAGCGGTGCCCTGCCTGTGCACCTCCCACCTTCCAGCCCCTTTCTGGGAAAACCACTCCAGGTTTAACAGTGGCGTCTCATCTGCTTTACTGAAGACTGAATTGTTAGTAATTTGCTTCGGGGTATTTGGGGTGTGAATTAATTAGGACTTCAATTCAGTGCTTGTATTTTATAATAAAAAGGTATTCTTAATTTTTGTCATCAGGTAATGAAGGAAGGAGGGAGCATGCTGGTTTAACACCAGCCTCTGCGTAGCCTTGACGTTCTGGGAAGCTGTGGATGGCCTAGCAGAAAGCCAGGTAACCAGCTGCGAGAGAGGATGGCAGCTTTCAGGAGCGGAGCACAAACATAAGAGCATGTCCCGCTGAATTATGATTTAGCACAGAAGCAAATACATTAGTTAACAGACTCACTTGGTCTTGCCATCTCCTGCTCCCTTTCCGAGGACACACAACACCGCAGTGTCAACGGTCTGTCCTGCCTGCTTGGGAGAGGGCTCTCCACCTATGTGCGTTACTCGCATCCTCCTCGCCAGAGCAGTGCGGGGCTGGTCCTACCTCAGTCCGCTGCTGAGACGTCTTGTTGGATGAGCATTTTAATGAGGACTCGTTTTAATGACCACTCCACTCAGCCTCTTATTGCTAATCTGCTTCCTCCAATCCTTCATCTACAGCCCTGACGACTCCACTGAGCAGCAAGTGCCTAATGGACTTGGATGAGATCAATCCATTAACCACCTCTTCAATCCGACGGGTGTAACTACACCTCACGCTGTCTCCATGCACTCTCAGCACCGCTCTCAGCCCTCCCACCACCAGGGTCAGGTCTCTGCTTATTAACCATCTTGGCAGCCTTGTCATACGGTCGTTTCCAGGAATCTGACAGAGAGCCCGGAAGGAGGAGGAGGTTTCGGTATTCCTAACAACGCCATTTTGCACTACCTTGCTGCTTCCAATAGTTCCCTCCCCCCCAGCCCAGCTGAACAAACTGCAGCATGGATTTTGTTGCAGCCTTGGGAGCACTCATCCTGCTCACCTTCCCATTGTCCCAGGTGAGCAGAAGGACAAAGCTCCCACAGAGAAAAGCTGAGCCCCAAAGCAGCATTTGGATGAGGCTTGGAGCAACCTGGTCTGGTGGAAGGTGTCCCTGCCCGTGGCAGGAGGGTTGGAACTGGATGAGCTTTAAGGTCCCTTCCAACCCCAACCATTCTATGATTCGTCTTGCCAAAAGCAAGTCCCCTTTAAGCAAAGCCAAATCCATGGACAAAGGGGAACTGCACGCAAGAGATGGATCCAGGGGCAGGAGAGGGAGCTCAGCCACGTTAGCCGCGAGGTTTGTCAGGGCTCACTGGGGACAGGTGCTGGTGATGGGCAGCTGGGAGCAGGTCACAGCCCAGCACTACAAGGGAGCTCCCCTCCAGAAATACATCACCTCCCACACCAACCTCCTAACTTGCTCATCTCCAATATATCCAAGAACCCTTCGCCCCCAGACAGCGACCTGGGCCGATCTGTAAGAGCGAACTGAATCCCACACCTCTGTCAGCAGTTTTCAACCATAATTTAAGGCAAGCAGAGATGGGTCTGAGTCACAAGTGCAACACAGCATTGCTAATTTAATAAAAAGCAGATAAGTGATTTCTAAGTGCTCCTTCTCAAGGTTTAGCTAGCTTGTGTATTAGGCAATTTTGCTTGCCTCACGCTCAGTTTAATAAATCCCCAAATTGACCTCCCTAGACAAGACACCTTCAGTATTAACCCCTCCTCTCAGATGGGAGATAATTCAGCAGCGCTGAAGGCAGTCACGTTTCACCAATACATACTAACCCGAACGATTCTCTACATGCTTGAAAACCAGGCAGCTTCTATCTTATCCTTAGTTACGTCCAAACTTCAAACGAGTTCCCATGAAAGCCGGCTCCAGTTTAGACAGTCACTGCAGCAATGCCTTCGAAAAGGGCTTTCATTTCCCTTCGCATACCTTGCCACTCATCAGGAACCGGCTCAAGGACAAGTAGAGGGGGCAGGTCCAAGGCCTGGCCAAATCTTGACTCAGGGGAGCCAACTCATCAGGAACCGGCTCAAGGACAAGAGGGGGCACGTCCAAGGCCTGGCCAAATCCTGACTCGGGGGAGCCAAGTCAGCACATTTGCTGCCACAGATCAGGCTTCCCCAAGTAGTCTGGTACCTCTGAAGCAGCTTTCCCAAGGTGTGAGTCCCTCAGCACCCTCCTTGTCCTTGCTGTTCCCCCAGCGTCACCTTGTGTTACCTCTCAAAGTGGGAGCGCGATGCTCTCCCAGAAGGGTGTTTTCTTCTCTCGACAACACGTGCCTGGGCAGACTCCAGGCTGGAGGAGCAGCAAGGTGAGTAAGAGAGAAGTGCCATGGCAATTCAACCTTCAGAAGGCACCAGGGATAGGAGCGAGGTAATGGATTCTGGAATTGATTTAATTTGAAGTCAGATCACCGGTTTACTAAGAGTAGTATAAGAATAGAAAGAATATAACTAATTAAAGAACGTGATGCAAAAGGTTGAAGCGGGTATGATTTGTACTGTGAGCAGACCAAAGCTTTAAATCAAAGCTGATCTCTCTCTCTGTTTTAGGAGGTGGAAGAAGAACCTTGAAAAAGATGCAAAAAGAAGAATTGACCATGTATTTGCATGCACTCGGGTGTAGAGGGATTTCAGAAGTTGTAAATTAAAGAAAAAAAGCCCTTGACCTAGAACTGACGACTCAGCAACAATTCTACACAGAAACCCCTGAGATGGTGGAACGATTTGCTATAATGAACAGCACAAAGCCAACGATAATAACCGGTACCATGAAACCACACTAGCGGAGCTACAGCAGGACAGCCACCCCACAACTACACACAACCGCCCTTTCAGCTGTTAGAGCTGGTCTGCACCAGGTGAACAGCCTCATCTGGGGTCAGGCCCCTGCTACCGGCACCTGCCACGTGGGACGCTGAGGGAGCACACCACAACCCCTGCACTTACACCTCAGCACTGTGCAAGCCCACCCAGGCTCTCCTCCCGAAAGCAGCACCGCTCAGAATAGGTACGATGAGGTGTTACAAGATGGGACAGGACCTTCTGCTGTGTCTCCATACAGTACTGGGCATTTTTAAGTCCCGTGGATGTCCTAGATGACAGTCACCCTATCGGTTACGAGTAGATCCACACTCGTCCCTGCACCAGCACCAGAATTTCTTCCCATCTTTTTCAGGTTGGTCTGCAGCAATGGCCATGAAATTGAGGTTTTCAAATCCCATGTGCAGCCACCTGGCACTAAACGACTTCTGTGGAATTAAGCTTATTGTATCCTGAGAACAGGTATTAAAGATAAAAATAATATTCAAATCTTGTCCAAGGTCCAAATAACAGAAACCTGAACTTCTTAGCGTGCAAGTCAGAGCCAGAACATTTGCTTGAAACAGCTGAATTTTTTTGCTGAATCCCGCCTGCACATTGACACGGTATCGTTACTGAAGTGGGAAGCAATTAACCATTTGGTTATGGCCACAAACTGAGACTTCATGATTGCTTCTAGGGACTCTCTATTCAGTGCAGTTAACCAGATTACGATTTGATCTAAAATTTGAATGCCATTAGTCTTCTATATTCAAATGCCTCTGAACAGTTCATTATAATCTTGCCATTAGCAATGGAACTCCAATCTTAGACATTTATGTGACACTTACTCCTCAGGGTTGTATTTAGCAAGTGGGAGCTGAAATTTATTATCTGCCCAGGTGCACTTCGCCATTTCATTGACTGCTGCAAGAAGCAGCCTTTTATTTCCCTCCTTGCATGTCTGCAGCAGAGGAAGGAGGAACATACGATCATTTTGGCATAAGGTTTACTTAGAACAATTTTTTTCTCCAGTGGCTGAAGAATTACTCTTCCAAGGCAAGGCCAGACATACAGAAGCTTTGTGCTCTCTTGTCAAGACAGACAAGAACCTGTGCAGATTTAGAATATTTTAGAATATTTTAGGCACACTGAATCTACAAAGAGGACGTGCAGCACAGAAGGGGAAAACAAGTTTACACAACACCTTATTTTACGCTGTCACAATGGTTCTCCGTGAGCTTTCACAATCAGTGGCATTTTACGCTGTCACAATGGTTCTCCATGAGCTTTCAATCAGCTGTCAACAACTCACGTCAGAGCTTTCTCAGTGTGCCTCAAGCCCTGACGTGCCCATTCCAACCGCTGCCTTGTCACCAACACTGTCCCTGGGAGATGGTCACGCCCCACCTGATGTGCTCACGTGGTCAATTCACTGCTGTCCATCTCATCACATTCTCCCCAAACTGCAGCCTCATCTGAGACACCCACCCCTCCACCATCACCTACTAGGGCTTCCCAGCACCACTGGCCCTCTCAGCTGCTTTCACCTCTGCCCCCCAGCCCCAAACTCAAGGTTGTGTTGTACATCTGCAGCTCATTTTGGGAATAAACTCACCTGTTTTCCACTTCCCTGCTACCAGCAGACATGGTTTAAACCCCAGAGGCTGGTGTTAAACCAGCACCTCTCCCCCCTTCCTCTGGGATCTTGCTGCACTTCTCATCCCAAGCATTAGGAGAGCTCACTGAGTGTGTAACACCTCCCGCCCGATGCCAGGAGGTGCTTTGCAGCAGCCCCGTGCGCGTTACCTTACTCTCCACCACGGAGATGAGAATCTGCTCCATGATGCTGCTGGTGGCTGGGACAGAGGTCTGGATGTGGCCGATGACCACGCCGATGGCCACGCGGGACAGCTCGTAGCTGAGGTGGGTGTTCCTGCGCACCAGCTCGATCAGTTCGGCACCTATCGTCTTGGGCACGGACACTGCCAGAGCACTGGGTTCTGCTGGCACCGGCTCTACCGCGGCCGCTTTCTTATCCTCCAGGCAGAGGGAGCTGAAGGCATCCAGGCTTGCTGGGGATGCCGGGGCAGCTTTCTTCCCCTGAGAAGCCTTCTCCCCATCCAAAGCGTGGGACCTCTGGGTGCCCCCTTCAGCCGGCGGTGCCGGGGCAGACCGCTTGGTCTGGGGTGATTTGCTGGCCCCATCCTTTGGGGAAGTCCCGTAGCGGGAGTGGGCCACAGAGCCGGCGTCCAAATTGCGTGTTATCGTGGTGTGGACGCTCCTGCTTGGGACAGGGGGTGGGGTGTTGGCAGGACTGGAGGTGGCCGTTGGGAGAGCGGTCTCTGACGCTGAAGAAGCAGTGTACAACGTATCCAGGGATGTTGTGCTTATAGAGGAGGCACTAGAAACTGACCCAGGGATAATTTCAACAGCGTCTGCAAGGGAACAATTAAAAATGCCTTAGCAACAGCATCAAAGGAAAAAAGAAAAAACAAAAGCAAAATACAAATTGCTACAGCACAGTCCATTAAAAGGCTCATTGTGCGTGGACCAGAGCAGTTTAACTCCTCTTCCTGCCTCACTTATCTCAAAGCAAAATTGTACCAGTTCTCTCTGGAGCATTCCCAAACAATCACCTCTTTAGAAAGGGGAAAACTACTCCATTGAGATGAATACCCTTCAAAGGGCTCAGTGTTTTACACAGGGGAAGAGAGGGAGGGAGGGCCAGGACTAAGGGACAGAAGTGTCTTTTCCCCCGGCTTAGCGAGGGCCTTTTTCTGCATGCAGGATCTAAGCCCTCACTTGTGAACGATGGTGCCTGAGAACCGCAGCACACTGAGGGCTTCACGCACGAGCCCGCCCCTCCCTCCCGCAGGAACCTCACCAACTGCACACCATGGGTAGCACCGACGGCGAAGGAACATTTGGCTGACACCACCTCCTAGTCTCTCTCCCTTTCAGCACTCTCCAATGTTCAGTCCTGAGCCCCGCAGCTCACTTTACAAGCCTCCGCCTTACCTGTTCTACTGTTTCTCCCCCCACCCCTGGTTCTGACTAGCTCTAGCAGTGGTGGCTGTCCCACCTTCCGAGGGAAAAAGTCCACTACAAGCAAAGAGATGTTAAGATTTTCCCCTCTTTTAACCTGGTCTAATATACATTTTTGGTAAACCTTATCCATTCATTTCTAGGGCACAGAAACGTATCCAAGTCCTTCCCTAACTATGGAAACCATTACTTGGGCAAACACTGGGCTACCGTCACCTAGAGCCTCACAAGAGCAGTTGGTGCTGTCAGAGACACAGTGCACCAGCTCTCAGGGATGGCACTTTCGCCCACGCCAAGGGAAGGACCAGCAGGACAGACACACGAAACCCTTTTGCTGCACCTCCACAGGCAACTCCACTACTCCATCTATCACTCCAGCCCCAGGCAAACACAAGCTAGGCAGAAAAACAGGGCCCTTCCCTCGTCTCCTCCGAGGAGCATTCATGACTCATAGCTCCCACCATGCTTCACTAAATCAGGATGATGAGTTGAAGGAAACCGACCTTTGCGAAGTCCCACTACCACAGTGACAAATGGCCTAATACCAGTAAGGACCATTAAGTAAGCTAGTGCCAGCCCCAAGTTTCAAGCAGCTTCCTGCAAGTCAACAGCTCTGCCCTGCTCCTCACAAGGGGATGTGAGTGGGCTCGAGATGGGCTGCGTCACTGATGGCGTGTCCGTCACAGCACCCGGGAGCACTTAGGCAAGCTGACAGCAGCTTGGCAGGATGGCCACCGCCGCCCACCCAGCCACGCTGGGGGTGGAGAAGCTCCTGCCTCCACGGTCCTGCTCTGAAGTGCTCACAACCAGCAGATCCCCTGCCTGTGGGCAGCATACACACGGCCGTGCCCCCGGTGTTACTTCTGCTCCTTACACACCATGCCAATTTTATGGAAATCCCATCCCAGCACCGTACAAAGCAGGCATCAGAATGGAAGCCAAAAGCAGACTTGGGCCTGTCCTAAAAGCACTACCAGTGCTCTCTCCCGGTGAACTACTGCACCCTGCACAGGGAAAACTCCATCTGCCTTGCAGGGAGAAGGCCATGGTGTCTGTGGGAGCAAAACACCCACAAGGACCTTAAATCCCACAGCTGTGTGCCGGCCAGATTAGCCACGTGAGCAGGCAGAGAACCACCGGCGCCAGAGAACCAGGAGGATGCTATACCTGGCATACATCTGCAGGCACCCCGCTGCCCAGGACCTCACAGATCAGAGAGGGCTTGAAGGAGCACTGGCCACCAGTGCATCACCATTAGCATTAGAACCTATAGGAGTTTGGGATATATGTATTCATATATGGATATAAAAGTATATAAAACCTATAGGAATTTAGGATCTATATAAGGAAGCTCTTCTAAGCACAAAGCAGAAGCATCTGGCCATGGTAACTGTTACATTGCCCAGCGTCCGTGCCGTGCCCGAGACCTGGAAAGCGGTTTGTCCTTACTTTTAACGGGAGCAGCAATCTGTGTGTTCTTGCGTTTCTCTGGAGGTGGGGGGGTGATAGGAGCAGCACGCCGGGGCTGTGGTGGGATCTATAAGGAAAGATTGCAGAGTAATCAGAGGAGGTTGACAATAAAGACATTCTCCTGTGAAACCTTCTTTCTCGCGTGCGTGTGTAGATTTGTCCTTACATCTCTCTCATCATTCAGGGAAGTTTTCTCAGGAGGACAGATATTAATAGGCGGCTTCCTAGAAGAACAAAGCAGGACTCAAGCCTGCTTCATCCCCTCCCTGTGACAGGCAAAGCAGCCCTTGTTTAATTGCTGTGTTCAGCAGCACACACATCGTGCAGACCTGTCAAGCATTTACACCTCCTTTATTCCAAAGGCAATCCCACACATGCACCGTGACTCCACATTACGCTCAACAGCTCCACAGAGGCTGCAAACAGAGCACGTATTTACGCAGTTTTCTGGAGGGATCCATTACATCAGCTACAAATACCCTTGCAGAGAGACAAAGCCAAGGACTGGAGACACGTAAATGCCTTTTCCATGCTCTCAGAGCTATTTCTGCTCACGCAGGGAGCAAACAGGGCTAGACCCTCTGTGCAATGCTGCGCAGCCCACGGTGAGACGCGCTGGGAGAAGCGTTTGCCAGAGCTGCATTAACTCTCCCCATCTGGGGTTTCTTCTGTAAGTCTTCTCTGCTAGGAACGCCGAGCCAGCAGCGTACGAACCCCAGACCCAGACTCCTACGCTCATCTTTTCAGATGGGTCGGATCCAAACGCTGCGATCACGCACATCGCTTTCACCCAGAATTACTCCGGTGAGACGTAATGGCAGGGTTAGCCTCTGCGCAGTAGGATGGTGCTGAACACAGCGGCCAGGCCAGGCGGGAGCATGTTGCACCAATACCCTAATCCTCATGTGCCAGCGGCTCAGGGCCAGAAGACTCAGCTCAGGGTCTCTAGGACTTCTCTGATTCAGAGCCTCCTCCCTGAAACACACCTCTGTTTTTATGGGATACTGCAATCCCTGCCTGCAGCAAAACCACCGAGGGCAGCACAGGAAGGGAACGGAGGCGATGCCCTGAACGTCTCAGGTAGCCCAGTGTGAAGCCAGCTGGAATCTACCTACCACGGTGCCATCCAGAGCACCACACAGCGACAACTTCCTGGGTTTCTTTAGCTCTGGAAGAGAAGTTTTTCTGTGACCCCTCAGTGCTGAACAGCCCTGTAACAGGGCACAGAGCAATGCCAGGCCCTGCGGTGAAAAACTGCGACAGGCCCCTGAAAGGTCTCTATCTTAAAGGGCTCAGAAGAAAGAGAATGCAAAATTCATTTTCCCCGTTGATCCAGAAAGTGTAGAAACCTCCTCTGAAATGGGAGCAAAGACATTTCTGGAAATAAGACACCTTCAGGAGCCACCTCAAATGTTCAAGACTCGATGCCAAAAGCTCACAATATGGTGCTCATAGCCCATGGCTGCAGCCCCCCAGACATGTGAAGACACGGCAGCTCGCACAGCTTACAAAGACATTTAAAAAGGGATCTCCCAGTCCCTTTCTCCCACCCAACACCTCGCATATCCAACCTTTTACTATGTCACATAACAAGTTCCTTCTTTGCCAGCGCCTTTAGCTGGTAGATTAGTAGGAGACAGTGCTGCAGACCCCCAGCCTGAGCTCTTCTGCTCTTGTCAATCCATCCCACATTGTCCTCTGGGTAAAACACTACACGATACTTGCACACAGCTTCAAAAATTATCCCTGTCAGTCCAAAAAGAGATTGCACAGCTGAGAAAGGCTAAACAGATCAGGAGGAGCCTCTGCATCGCATGGCTGGAAGGCTGGTCCCAAATCTGGAAAGCTCAGCTGTGCTGGAAGCAGAGCCCTCTCCGCAGAGCGGCGCAGCTAACGGCACGGGTCGGCGCTGCTTGGCCTAGCGCGGCCACGATTACTGAAGCAGCAGGATTTAGCAGACAGGCAGGCTCAGAGCGAAGAGCAGCAGCGTGACATTATTTGGAGACAGCTAGGGCTGGGTCATTCTGGAGTATTTCCACACATTCATTAGCCCTTCCAAATTTACCATGAAAGTTTAACACAGCTATTACAGGCTAGTGCTTAAATTAATAGATGTACAGCTAATGTTAGCTCAGAGCCCTGCCAGCCTCAGTTAGACATGAAACATCTGATGAATTCCCCCGTGCTGGTGTCTGCCTGAGCTGTGAGCTGCTGCACGGTCAGGAGTTGTGAGAGGTAACCGATGGCCACCCCCTCCCTCCGCCCCATGTCCCAGCCACTGCGTGGGGCCAAGCAGAGGATGTACAACATCAAAACCCTCAAGGGAAGGGGAGGAAAGGGGAGAAAACCTCCTCTGTCCAGATGCTGTGGGGAAGGTGACCATGCAGGAGTCCTTGAAGCTCAGATGCCTCCTGCTCAGAAGAGACGACCAGGGGCCTTACCAAAGGTCCAGACAGAAGCACTAAGACGTATGTCGAAAGCCTCCCTTTCCCCAGGCCTCTCAAAGGGGCTGTGAACAAATCCACAGATTTTACAGTGTGCTTCCTCTCCTTTTCCATTTTGCAGGGACTGCTAGCAGAGGCTCTTCTCCCTGCACTGCTTGAGACAAGAGCCGACTCAATCACACTCCCATATCCTTTCCCAGCTGGGCAGGCAGAGACTACTTCAACTCCAGCTCCCAGGAATTATGCTAGTATAGTAGGAATCTTTAAACAAAGAAAAACAAACAAACCAAAAAAAAACCCAATAATCCTAAGCCCGCAGCCTCCTCCAGGCAAACTGCCCACCCAGACATTGGTCTGCAGCAAAGGCTTTTGGAGACGAGCGTCACCAGCCCACTGCTGCATTCACAAACGGCTGACTAAAATCCTCTGAGAGCCCAACCTCCTCTCTTGGCAGCTGGTATGTAACTGCCCCAGCTTCCCACCTCATGCTAACTACGGAGGAGCTGAAGCACGGGTGTCATCACTAAGTCCTTCAGCCAGTTCAGCCCTGGGAACAAAACCGACAAGATATTTTTCAAGTTTTACTTAAGTTTTCAGATGCAAACATTGAATGCACGCAAAAATCCCAAGCAGTGAAAAGCACATCCCAAGACCTCTGCTTCTCCAGAGTTAGTGGCTTAGATTAGTTAGAGTTTAGATTTTAGTAGGTCTCCTCTTCGGCAGCTGCGCAACCAGTGGAAGAAAGCAACGCTGCTTCCTCCGCTTCCTAGTTCCAAAGCGCACAGGAAATCCTCCGACTGAGCTGTTGAAATCTCAAGGAGCCCTTTCAGCACAGGACAAAACTGGAAGCCTTTGACTGCATCCTCAGTGCCACCCAGGCAGAAACTGTTCTTTGTCAGCCAAGGAATCAGTCTTGGCCCTTTTTGGCAAGCGACCAAACCACAGAGCAGAAAAAGAGAGGGAAGCAGCATGGAGAATGGGCAGTGAGGTGCTCCATCCTCTTACCCCGTAATGCACAGGCTTGTGAACAGAGCCAGTTTGACTGCTCGGGAAAGAAAACGGATAGCAAGGAGAAAAATGAGGTTTGCAAGGATTGCTGTGTTCTGCGTGAGTCAGAGCTACCTTTCTCTGCAAACACGCAGTTCTTCAAGTGTAAAACAAGCCTCATCTGCTAGGAGTGACAGGGTATCAGCACCTTATAAACACTGCCTCCAAACACTTGTCCCAGACAGATGAAGAAAAACTACAGCGCACATGGCCGTCTGTAGGAGAGAGAATCTCCGCGCTCATCCTTGCTTGGCGCCTCCATCCCGAACATCCAGCTATACCTGCCCAGAGTAATCGGCCACATCATTCATCCCCAGGACTGCTGCGTCTGTCCCAGGCTGCGGCTTTGAAGCCTCGCTGGCGCCGCACGGTAACCTTGGAACTGTGTGCTGCCAAGATAAAAATATCTGCTCTACATCATATTTCCTGCAATTACCTTTAATTCATGACAAGCAACATTCAGAGAAAGCAGGATCTTTGGGGTTTTTTTATGAGTAGTGAAAAATAGGCAGCCACAACAGATAAAAAGCTTAAGGACAAAAGATCTTGTGCAGATTTAACAAGGGGAAACAAGACAGCGCCGAGCACTCCGAGGGAGTTCTGCTGCTCACATCAAAACTGTTTTTCAAAGTATTCTCTGGGGAGCCTGCAACTCTCTTAGACAGTTGTCAAGAGACAGTCACACCATACAGAACGGATCTCGCGCCACAGACCCTCAAGGATGCCCAAAACATCACAAGTGTAAGTGGCAGAGGGACTGTTCCAAACTTCTTAGAGACAGCACCATTTTACACCGTGGTAATCCCGGGTAAGCAGCACTACATTTCATTTGTGACTTCAGCTGCAAAAGCATTTTACTGAACAGGACGAGTGGCGTCATACCTCCAAGAGGAGCCTAGAAAGCCCCCAGCTGCTGTTACCTGATAGAGACCCTCATCCTCCTCCTCGAACTCGGTGTTTGGAAGGCTGTGATGGCGCTCGTATCCTGTCCGGCACACCCCGTTGGGCTGCCGGGCCACGTCCAGGTGGTGGTCGCTGGAGGACTGGGTCATAGCCATCCCCTGCGGGGTGGGGGAGTGGCCTTTGCGGGACACCGTCTCCTTCCGGTGATGGATCAGCTTTCTGAAACGGAATGACGACATCATGAACAGCGCAGCTAAGGGAAGGAAGCAACGGTGCTGCCGCATTTAAATGATTTATTGCATTTGGGCTATATATACCAGAATGGGTTACTTTACCCTGAACACCAACTCCAGTTTCATTAACAACTAAGGAAGCACTTCTGGGGGAGGAAGGAAGAAGCTTTGCCAGAGTCCATGATTTATTCATCAGTTTGCTGGAGAAAAATGCCTCTTCCTCAGGGCAGGGGGGGAAGAGTCACATATTGCATGGCAAGCTTCAGAAACTGCCTGCACTTCAGAATCCCTGTGCAACTGAGATTAAACCAGCATGCCTCAGTGCAGAGCGTGAGGTGTCAGAGAAGAAAATTCTCACAAGCAATTATTTGAGAACATATTAAGGACCTTGTGCCACATGCCAACAACCTCTAAAACTCCTGGCTGGTAGAGAGGAGAAAATGCATCTGGAAAGGTTTTGGATTTCTCCTGTAAGCCTACAGCGTAGCTGAGAGTTTTCTCTTCTTTACATGCCAGGGGATAGAGAGGGGAAACCGAGGCACCGCTCTGCTAGCCATGGTTGGCAGGAGGAGCAGCAGTGGCTACCGGGTCACATGCTGGGAAGCTGATGGAGCACATCAGCCCTTTAGAATCATAGAATCACAGAATGGTTTGGGTTGGAAGGGACCTTAAAGATCATCTAGTTCCAACCCCCCTGCCATGGGCAGGGACACCTTGCACTAGACCAGGTTGCTCCAAGCCTCATCCAGCCTGGCCTTGAACACTTCCAGGGAGGGGGCATCCACAGCTTCTCTGGGCAACCTGTTCCAGTGCCTCAGCAGCACAGGGACACAAATCAGTGACGTCCAACTCGACCCTCAAGAACAGAAAAGACAGAAGCATCACACGCTGACCACCCTCCACCCGCCAGCTCTCCCAAATACCCATCATACTTACTGGAGGACATCCCTCTGCTCCAGGTTGTACTTTCCCCCATTCTTCATGGCCGCGTTGTGCACAGCCTCGATGGCACGGTCGATAGACTGGAGAACCACATCTTGCTCCAGCACCTGAGAAACACAACGCCCCACGTGTTACTGCGCCGCGGTTCTGCGGCGCTGGAGCTCAGGGCAGGAGAGACGGCACACGGGAAACCCTCCGAGCAGGCATCGTATGAGCCAAGCTGCCAACAAGCAGCTCCCAGAGCCAGAACCCCATCTCAGCACTGTCTCACTTTTCCCTCTTTCCTCCAAGGAAACATATTTGATGCCATGCTTCAAACCGAGTCTGCCCTCTCAAGGTTCACATCTGGAAAACAAACTCACTGTTGCAAGCGCCGAACTCCAGCGGTCACAAGAATACCCAGGACAGAGCTTAAGGACCATGCAGCAGCCCTGAATATTCAGCCCACTGCCGGGAGCCTTCAAGATCCCACTGCAAAGCCCAGCTTACCCCAAGCTCAATTATTCCTGCTCTTCCTGCCCTGCTAAGGATCAAGTTCACAGCTGTGAATGTTACTGACCCTGCTGAAATCTGGGGACCTTCAGAGTCCGTGGGCTCCAGGTTTGCATTTTTGCTTGCTTTTTCTTGATGCTTTTTATGCTTGTTTTGCAATTTGGAGTGGCTTTTGCAAATCTCCACCCAAACTGTCATAGCAACATTTATTCCTCCTGCCAGCCAGTTTAGCACTCACTACTGCAGCTGAAACAAACACCAGCCTAGAAACACGGAATAGCAAAGACGTCATTCCCGGGCTTACAGAGAGGCTTGGAGAGCTGTGGCGAAGCGGCATGGGAAGGAAAAGCGGGTTTCCAGACCTGGGACGTCCTTCAAGGCTTTGTTTACCAGCAGTTGACATGCCTTCGGAAAAGGCCTTTTCGGACTAAGGCTGAAGGCCAGGTACCTGCTACCGAGCCTCTACCCTGGACGTAGCCGACCCACAGGTCCCCCCCCGGCCTCTACCCTGGATGTAGCCGACCCACAGGCCCCTGTAAGGTGCCGGTGGTGCCTCCATCACCCGTTGGGTGCCACCCTGGGCAGCCTCAGCCCACGACGCAGGGGAGAAGCGGGAGAGGAGCGCCGGGACACCAGCGCTCACCGCAGCTGCGTGAGCACCAACACCCCGCTCATCTTCGCTTGCTTTGCCCCCTCCCTGCATCACAGCAACCATTCATCCAGCCAAGGAGTGGCTGGAATCTCATCACGGATGCACCTTAATTGGCCTTAGGGGGCTGCAGAGTGGCAGAAGGCAAGCCCTCCCCGCCGGGGCCCAAAGTGCCTGCCTCTGGAGCACCGGCATGCCGTTTTCTGATAACACGCGATGTATTATTTATATCCTGATTAGTTACTAAACCCGATGTGAATTAACAGCAACGGCAGGCTGCAGGAGGGAGGGGGGAAAGACACGCCAACCTCCAAATGAGGTAGGGATGAGAGGCCCCCGTCTGCAATTCTCAGCTTTGAAGAAGAAAAATTTGTGATGGTTGGTGGTGGTGGTTTGTTTTCCCAAGAGAGAGGGATAGCGAAGGGAAACTCAAGAAGAAAAATTCAAAAATAAAACCAGGTATGTTAAAATACACCCACCAAATTCATTAAAGCATCAGATCAAGGTCAAAACCAACAGTGGGATGAAGCCTCCAAGCAGCCCCGCGTGGCCTAGGGAGCATTTCGTCACCTCAGACTATGGATCTAAGCATGGAAACAGGGCAAAGCTCATTTGAACATCTTTAAAGGAGCACTGGAAGGAAAGGCAAGTTATTTCAGAGAATGTATCTAGTTTTCTGAGAAGAGAAAATTACAGCAAGCTGCGTGCTTTCTCTGGGAAAGGGGAGCAGTGCAGAAGCCTCCAGCGCTGTGCCCAGAGAGCGCCTGTGCTGCTCCAAGCACCAGAGAACCCTGCGCTCAAATTCATCAAATTCATTCAAATCCCCAAATTCATCACAGCTCCTGCTACAGCCTCCAAACGCCCGCCCTGGTGCACTCCCCGACACCCTGTTTGCACCCCCTCCCCAAGATGCTGCCTCCTCTCGCCCTCCCCAACCCTCCAGGCTTCCACCCACACGGGTTTCCACCTTTCTCAGCCTGATCTTCCCAGGGAAGATGGTAGCACAGAGCATCGAATTCTCCTGAACTCTCTCCCAGGGAGCCTGTCAATGTCATCCACAGGAATCCAGAGGCTGGAGATGCTACTCATTGTGTGATGCCATTTGTTATGGAGAGGGCGCTTCTTTTCTGATAAAACACAGCATTTTCACATGAACGCATCACCGCTGTGACAACCGCCTTTTAGCTGCTGTGCTCCTGCCTTTGTTTCCACTCCCCAACCCTCTATTAACAGGGCCCTGCCAAAAGGGCTGGAATAAGAAAGCAGCATTAACTTGCCATTTGCACTTTAGGACATGGCTGATGATGCTCGTAAATCATCTCCTGCCTTGCTCAGCTGAGCAGGGCAAGGGCCAGGGTTTTCAGCACAGGGGCCGCCTCGCATTCAGGGTTTGAGGGATACCCAGCACTGGGGGTCCCCTGAACTACAGTCATCAACTTGAAAAACCAGAAATCAGTATGCTGGATAAATCATGTGATTAGAAGGAATCTGCATCCGCCCTGGGTGAACCAAAACGGCATGGCTTTGTTTGAAGAGGATGGACAAAAAAGCACGTCGCAGTTAACAGCGGCACGAGTTGCGCAGGGGCAGAAGCCAGGTTTGCCCTTCTCTCACCTACAATCTCCCTCGGACTCAAGGGATTACCTGCCCACAGCTAGTCTGGATAATGCACATGCCTCGCCGTTCTCCCCACGCAGCTTAGGGAGGCCAGTCACTCCCCAGCACTGGCAGGGGGCTCCTGCCTGCATCCCGCACTCTCTCCCGAGGATGCTCGTAGCTAGGACACGCACAGGCAGTGTTCCTGGGCAGCACGGCCAGGCAGTGCCGCCCACAGCTTCTCGCACGCTCCCAGGCAATCCCAGCAATGGGCTCTACAGCCTGCAAAAGAGAGGTCACAAACCTGCACCAGCACAAAACAGAGCAGGGCTTTTGAGCTCAGGAAGGGGATGTCCGTGCTCTGAAGTCTGCTCTCACCCCTGCAAAGCCCCTGCCCATCCCCAAGCTCCAGGGCACAGAGGTGAAACCCTGCTCATCACGGGCTGAGCGGAGGCTCACGTGGAAGCAGGGGAGCACATGAGAAGGGCATCGCTGTGTGGTGTGCTGTCAGAGGAGGCATACCGAGTAAAGCCCAGGAATTCAGCTGGATTTACTGAAGCTGTGCTGGTAACTGCAGGGGTGGGGGCTCCCAGAGCCCCCAGCAGCCACTCAAACACACCAGCTGTGAGCTACATCCTTCACCAATGGCACAGCCATGCCAGCGGCTCCCGAAACACAGGGAAGGCGGCAGGGACAGGGTAATGACAGTAGTGGACAGTAGTGGAAGGGGCCAGCCGCACGTGCCTGCCCGTTCGGGGCAAGGGCAGGGGTCTCCTTGGTCAGCGTGGGGTGGCACAGGTACCGGGCTGCGCCCAAGAGGCATCGCCAGGACGTCACCTTCTGCTCATGATCCGTGAGAATGGAGGGGTATTTTGGGGAGGCATTGATCCACCTTCACATGGCATCTCCCCCAGAGAGGAGGGGCTGCCACCGCCTCTAGCAGATATTTCTGGTTTAATCACACAAAACACTGCGACAGAGAAACGCTGGGCTCTGCGAACAGCCTGTCAGGCTACACTGAGAGGCAGAGGAAGAGCAAAGCGGTGACCCCTGACGAGCATGGGCGAGACCGGCTGATGGGATGCTGCGTCAGAGAACCGGGGGCACCGTCGGCACCCAGCAGGTGAACCGCCCTGCAGAACAAGTAACAGCTCAATTAGAGGCACCAGTATCAGCCAGGAAACCGAATTTCTTCCTTCGCAGCCCAGCATAGGAAAAATCACAGAAGCATCAATAAATCATTACTTCCACTCTCATTGCTAATAACACGAGCAAACAAAGGGTTTCCCCTGAGCCTACTGGCAATTTCCTTCTGCCCCTGGCTCCCCACCTGACAAGAGACAGAGCCAGACCTCAGCGCTGCCCTGGGGTGCTCTGCACGCTTCCCCTCTCCCAAGGCAGGTGGGGAAGAATGCTTTTCCAGGGTCAAGGCCAGGCTTTCCAGAAGCATCCTTCCAGGATGTCTTGTGGGTAGCTAAGTGCAGCCAAGACAGGGCACTGCTATGCACAAGCAAGGATGCATCCACCCACACTGCTCTCATCTCCAGCCCCCGAGAGCAGTCTCCCCAAGGACGGTACACGAGCACAGAACACGTTCCTTGTGTCTGCTTCCCCCACGCACGGGCTGATGAGGGACCTGAGCATTTGGCAAACACTGCCGGTGTCCTGGCTGCGCAGGGAGCACAGCCTCCTCCCCGGCTATCGAAAGTGGTGCCCCCTCCCTCTTCATTTTGAGTCCTCCCACCATACCGCCGGTATTGTTTAAAAGGCACTCACACAGAAGAACTTGCTCAACAGTCTAGAATAATGATACCTTTCAGAAAAGCATTTTTTAGACAAACAGGCTGACGGCTGCATCAGCGCAGACAGGCTGATCCACCCTGCGTGTGCGAGACTCCCACATTTACGAAAGTGGCCCATTAACGTACGGCAGGCTTTTCTTTGCCTTTGCAGGGGGTTGATCCAAGAAAACAGGCTGATCCTGCCTCCCCAGTTCTTAGTGATCAAAGGCGTTTGCTTTCTGCATGTGCAGGAATCAGCGCCCTCATTCCTGCGGCTGCCGATTCTCACCCTCGTGTCATTCCTCCAGCTCTCCCAACATGACAACAAAAGACAGACGAAGTTTTGTCTCCAGTGACAGCTCTGTTTTCATGCAGCTGCGCGGACATGGGCCACAGATGAAATTAGGATATTTATCCCACTGGCGTACACAGGCACAGGCTGGTTCTTTGTTACTCAAACCCGAGACGAACGCCACCTCTTCGGTCACATGCCACTCATCCCCAGTCACCGCCACACTGTCTGCTCGCTGTATTCCTTCCAGATTTAAGTGACCGTGATAGCAGTTTACAAAACTCAACTACCCTTTGTCCGTGGCAGAGTGATGTACCAGATACAAGATCCCCCTTCTGAACCACGCAGCTCAAATAAATGGGCTGAGTTTTGGTTTTTGCATCACTATGGGAAATTCAGCTCCTTTCTGCATCCCCCATCAGAAATTCTTAGCCCCTAGGCTGGTAGCTAAGAGATATGCATTAGCTTATTTTTGTCGGCAGGAAGATATTGTGCCTCCCGGCACTTAAAAACGCGTGACAAAACCGCAAGTGAAACAACGGGCAACTGTCCTGGTTACCGAGCAAATAAGACGGGAAAAGCTCCAAACAAACCTGCAGCATCCCTGACTGGCGAGCGAGTGAACAAAGACATGGCTGAGCTGGTAGCTAAGAGATATGCATTAGCTTATTTTTGTCGGCAGGAAGATATTGTGCCTCCCGGCACTTAAAAACGCGTGACAAAACCGCAAGTGAAACAACGGGCAACTGTCCTGGTTACCGAGCAAATAAGACGGGAAAAGCTCCAAACAAACCTGCAGCATCCCTGACTGGCGAGCGAGTGAACAAAGACATGGCTGAGCTCTTCTGACAAAGAGGCAGCCCAGAACCTGGAATTTTTTTTGATATGCTGTGGTGGGTTTCTAACAGATCTGTGTTTTTCCACAGCGTGCTGACAGCAGCCGCTCGGGCAGGCAGCCTGCACAAAGGAGAAATGAAGAGAAAGGACAGCCGGGGAAAGGGCTTAAGTTGTGCAAATCATGCTCAAGCTGAAGCCAGAGCGCCTGGCAAAAAGAGGTACAGTAACCAACACCGTACAGGCACGAGTGGCATTCGGAATAAACAAAACACTAAAGGCAGGAGGAGGATGCACAACAACCCAACTTCAACAGATTCCTCTCCCGGGTGCTTCGGAGGCAGAGACATGCTGAGGAACAACGAAACGCATGCAACCCACCACTGCACACGTGTGCTTCCTGAGGTAGAACCGCCTTGTCCTGGGTCTCCCCAGCCATGCTCAGACCCTGTTTACCGGCCACGATGATCAGAACCAGCCACTGACACCTTCCCCTCGCAATTCTGTGCCCTCCAGTAACCAGAACACATCTCTAAGCCAAAACACACTAAGAGGATAAAAGCAGAAACACAAGTTTTTAAAATAAAGCAGTCAACACTTTAATATCTTGTCATTCCCTTCTGCCTTCATTCTTACTGCTCCCACTGCTCTGGGGGCCTTCTTGGCTCAGCCTGCCCAGGAGAGCAGCTGCCAGACAGAGCTGCCCCACTCCTCAGGCTTTACCTGTTCAGCATCCTCCTGGCACCCAACGGTCAAGCCAAGTCAGCATCAGACATGATCAACAGCCGTGCAGGGGACACGTATGTTTCTACTTACATAAGTGTATATATAAATTACACACACACGTATTTATCAGTTTTTCTTCTAAAATCCTCCTCCTGTGGCCAACCGGCTGGCAAGGGACCAAAGGCAGCAAACCACAGCTATGATGCTCTTTGGGGATAACTACCCTGTTGTCCAAACCCGCAACAATGGACAAATTGTAAAGCATCATTTATTGACTTAACAGGAAAGGTGAAACTGGGAAAGAAAGCCGACCTGCCATCCCAGCCCCAGTGAGCATGGGAAAGCAGAGCTGGCAGTGGGCAAAGGTGTGCAACTCGGGAACACCCGCCAGGCATGCGGGAGAAGGGGCATGGAGGGGGGACAGGTCATCATCCGAGGGCGCACAACGGGCCTGGGTTCATTGAGGGATTGAAACCAGTAGTATGACAGCCGAGTTCCCAGTAGAAGATAACCCTCAACGCTCAGGTGAGGCTTTCAGGTGGGCTGTTGTAAAGCTAACGCAAGAAGGAACACCTCCATCGGAAAGAAAACGGGCATCTCCCTCGCTCCTCTACCACGGATTCCGGTAGTTATTCATTTCGACACGTTCAGAGTAGCGCCACTGAACTGTTCATGTTTTTGGCTTATCAGTGCTATACACAAAAATGACATGAAGTTAGGTGCGCCAACTAATTATAGCAAAGCCATTTAAAGACCATTGAGGGTGCAGGTGCAGGGCAGCAAGGGAGGGGGTACCAGAGGGGCTGAAACACTCCACACAGGCTGCGCTGTCAAGAGGTAGATCATGCTAATTGGCCATAGACAAAATACCCAAGTACGCCAACGCGCTTGTTAGCCGAGAGCTGCTGCTGCAAGCATGTGTATTCCTGGTAAAGTGGATGCTGCTGCTGAAGCGATCAGCACCCAGACACTCACCAAAATCTGGGAGTCAACGCAATCAAGCTTTATTGGGACAATGATAAAGCTAATGCTAACTCATGCCCCAAAATAACAATACCAGAGATCCATACCGGTGTCTTACAACTGTTACACACGTGATCATAAAGACAGAGCACAAACCAAAAAACCCCAGAAAAATATGAACCGAAGACCCTGCAGCATCCTGAGGTGCTTTTTGACTGGCAGACGGTGGGAGCGGACAGCACACAATTTTTCCATGCTGCAAAACTTAGACTGACAGTTTCCCCTAACCTACAAACATACCTTGAGAATTGCAAGTTTAGCTATGTTTATCAGAGGAATGAGGCTAACTTGCTGTTATCTCCAGATACAGTTCAAGAACAAATCCTGGAGTTTGTTTAGTGGCCTTTTTTACCTTAAAAAAGATTAAATGGTACAGCTGGATTTGCTGACATTTCACCTATACGGAAGTAAGAGATGGGTCACGGAAGAAAAGCAATTCATTAGTGTCCCACACTATCCGCAGGGGAAAAATAGCCTGCTGCTCTAGCTGCTAGTTATAATCCCATCTCCTTTTGCAGCTTAGAGTGGCACAGGTTCCCCAGAAACACGAAGAAACGGGAACAGGAAGGGAATGTCCTCTCAGGACATTGTGCTACAGGCAGCAGAACAGCCATAATCCTGTTTTCCTCACTCCCTGAGGCAGCAAACAAAAAAACCTGCATTTTCTGGACCGTTCACTTCTTGTGCGTAAAAAACTTTCACCCGCTCCCGTGCTTTACTGCAGTGTTGGTTTCTCGTGCCACAATCACCCCTGTCAGCACCCACCTCGCTCAGCAGCGCTGGCGAGAGCAAATTCTGTATTTCAGGAAATCTTCACAGCTCACCTCCAGTGGGACAAATCCCGTGGGAAAGGAGAAGGCCAGGATTCAGGTCACCTCCACCCAACTCGGCATGTGGGCCCTGCACAGAGGGGGTCCGGAGCAGGACCCCTCTGGTACACGAGGCCACCACGGGGCCGAGAAGGTGGTGGCAGCTGCAGGACAGCAAGCAAGGGCTCCAGTAGCTCTCAAGCTGTGTTGTTTGCACAACTCACATGCTGTCTCTCCCCTCCTTTACCCATCTCTCCCCCAGACTCCTCCAGGCCTAGTCTGACCTCTCTTCCCCACTAGTGACCCCCATGGCCCAGCTATCAGAGGTTGGGGTGGTCCCTCATGTCCGAAGAGTCACACGAGACCAAACATTGCCCATGGTGGTTTTGTTGGGAGAACTTTTTCTTCAGCCACTAATAGTATGCAAATAGTGTTTAAAGGCTTTTCAGGTCACCAGAGCTCCGTATCATTTTGAGATAATAAGTTTCTGAATGAGAGCTCAAGAATACAGGCAGTTCACACGTGCTTATGCACGTAGGGGTCTCAGATGCAGACCAAAGCCCCTGGGCAAGGCTTCTAAGAGAGTCCAAGGCCACAGACAAGATAATGCTTCCCAAAACTGGATGCTGAAGGTCTTTCTTTCCATCCCTGATGTAAATAATTATGCTGTACAGGCCCCTTGATAACGCTGGACAATTATTTCAATGCTGCTGCCATCTCTTGTCATCAAGCTAATGGAAGAGACACACAAAATCAATTCAAAAAACAAATTAAAGGGAATGCATTTTTCAGTTTAAGTCAATAAAGGTGATTCTGGGGCAGACAAAAAACTTCATTACTTAAAACCCAGCACTCCAAGGGATTTTTTTTAATGTCAAATGGAAAAAGTCTTCAGCTACAAACACTTTGATTTGCCCAAGCTCAGGGAAATCCCTAAGCTTCTGCATTAAGTAGGTAATGAATTTTTATGATCATCCTTCTTACTTGAGGTACTGGGTTTTCATACAATTATTCTTTTTACATGCTGAAAACATGTGTTTCTCTGATACTTGAGCTTCTCCCCACATAGTCCTCAGGGACAGTCAAGCACAGTGGGAAAGGGGTCATGGATCTGCCTTCTAGGGTGTCACTCGGGCACAGTTTATGACCTGGGCATAGCGCAGTCGATGTTCAAACCACGGTACCTACTCTTCCCCCTGCAAACACACATCCTTTCCTCGGGAGAGGAGGGAAAAGGGTTTCTCCAAGCAGCCTGGAAAAACACAGAATTCACTGAGTTCACCCAAAAAGGACTTGTCACCACGTCAGACTGAGAGACCACGGAGGTTTGCGACTGTCTGCTCGGCGCAGACCTTCGTCTTGATGTCTTCAGGCAGCCATCTGGTTTTCACGGGAGCTGCCACAGTTCTCTGCACAACCGCCACCGGGCTCGACTGCCGGAGAGCCCTCCCGCCTGAAAAGACACCCATCACCACTCCCACCTTCCGCGTGCGAGCGGGTGAAAGTCACCTGCGTGGTCCGTCAAGGCTCCCTTCCCGGCTCCAGAGCAGGGGGACGCAGCTCGGAGGCCGAGCGCAAACGCCCCCAGCGAGCTCGAGGGCAGCGGAGCTGGAGTGGGAACAGAGGGAGGTAACACCCCGACCACATCAGGAGCCCCAGGCACAAACCCCATGGACAGGCATTCAAGACATCATCCCAGCTTCCAGGTGATTTCCTCCCCCTCGTGGGCGAATGTCTATTTTTGCGGCTCTTGCCTCATCTTCTCCCTCATCCCTTTGTTTTATTTCCATATAACAGAAGGTTTGCAGAAGGTCTGCCCTCCGGTTTCCGTACTAGAAAGCACTGTCCCCACTTGTACTAGAAAAAACCCCAAGAAATAATTAATAGCTATTACTTAGAAGAGACCTAATCTGAGCCTGGAACCAGTGATTTAGCAAGAAACGATCCACAGCCTGGAATTATCTGCCATGCTTAGTCCGACAGATTGATTTTTTTTAAATGCCTTTTTTCTTTTTTAAATTAAACCTTTTGAGCAGCTGAACAGACTAAAATATCAGCCTATGGTGGCATTTCTACATCACAGGCACAAAAATCAACACCTTGCAGACGGCTTTCACGCACACCACTCCAGCCTGAGCAGGAAAGGGGGATGAAGCGCTGTAAATGGAACCCATCAGCATGGCAGCAGAGACACCCATCCAAAAGCCCATCCTGCCAGCATGAGAGGCAACCGGAGCCGGAGGAATGGGCTCGCTACGCTCGCAGCTGGGTGATGCTTCCCCTTCAGCTGTGCCAGGCGGACAGGAGGAAGAACACAAGCTTAGCAACGCGGTACTCAAGAAGTAAGCAGCTTCCCAGAAGGAAGGGAGTGACAACTTCTACTGAACAACTTCAACAGGCAAGCAAATAACCAGGGAAAACAAACCCATGAACTTCCCACCACATCTTCAAAAGCTCACACTGGTCAAGTTTTACTTCCCCTTCAAGCCTTGTGCTAAAAGTGGACACGTGTTAGTGCTTTGTTCCCTTGCAAGGGACACGCAGCTCTGCCAGGAGAGCTCTGCTCTGCAGGGTGAGGGCACAGGGGGGCTGAAAGTAAGCTAACGCACCTCCCTGCTGCAGAGGGTCTCATCTTTGGGGCAGCTCCAGCCCTGGGTTAGCGTCTCAGAGCTCTGCGCAGAGCAGCGCTCAACAGCCCCGTGGCAAGATAGCGATGGGGGAGCGAAGGGGTGCTGGAACAGATGCCGTCATGAATCGTGGCCTCGGTTCCACTTCTTGCATGACAAGCTTCAAAACATTTTTAAAAATTCAGAGGTTATGCCACGTGACAAAGATCAAGACAAACTGGGCTTGGCGAGTCCCT